TGCAGGTCCCGCACCGTGTCATGGCCGCCTTCAGCCTGCAACATGGGCTGCCCGCCCGGGTCGTTCATGTCATGACAGCCCACCGCCTGCGACATCGGCCGCCCCCCGGGTCGTTCATGTCATGACAGCCCACCGCCTGCGACATCGGCCGCCCGCCCGGGTCGTTCATGTCATGACAGCCCACCGCCTGCGGCATCGGCTGCCCGACCGAGTCGTCTGTGAGGGCGAACGGATCGGCGCCGCGCCCCGCCCCCGCCCCCCCGCCTCTTCTGTCCCGGGCTGTACGCGCTGGAGAGGCGGCAGGTCGTCCGCCCAGGCGTCACACAGGTCGGGCTCGGCCCGCTCCCACCAGCCGTCCGCCGCGAGCGGCACCGGTGGCGGCGGCTGGCTGCTGTCGGGCAGGCCGGGCGCCGGCAGCCACGGATCGTTGTGCAGGGGGACGAGCACGTGGTCCTCCCACCAGGGCTCCGCTTCGTTTGGAGGTCCCTGGATGCCGATAGGCCAAAATGGCCGCTGCAGATCCCCTTGGTAGCCGACTGGAGGCCCTTGGCGAGCACGCGGGACCTCGCCTTGGTAGAAGAGGGACCCGTCGGCATCTGGAGCATGCGCCTCCAGCAGAAACTGGTAGGCAGTGAGACATGCCCGCTCCTCCAGCAGTGTTTGATAGGCCTCTGCTGTCTTGCGCTGGTCCAGCTCGGCGGCTGATACCTTCCGCTTCTGCTGATCCATATGCCGTTTCCTCATCACGCTCAGACGGTCTCTTACAACCCCTTTCTTCACTTGGTAGAGAGGCATCGCGAATTGCGGGTGTATTTCAATGGCGACTAGTGCCTGACCCCGGTTGATTCGGCTGCCGGCCGGTGCCTCCTGGCGCTGCAGCTGGTCGGCAGCCTGTGCCCCCTGGTTGTCCAGTTGGTTGGCAGCCGGTGTCTCCTGGCGTTGCAGCTGCTCGAAAGCCGGCGCTTCCTGGTGATTTAGTTGGTCGGCAGCCGGCGCCTCCTGCTGTTCCAGTTGGTTGGCAGTTGGTGCCTCCTGGTGTTGCAGTTGGTCGGAAGCTGGTGCCTCCTGGTGTTGCGGCTGGTCGGCAGCCTGTGCCTCCTGGTGTTGCAGTGGTAGGCAGCTGGTGCCTCCTGGTGTTCCAGCTGGTCGGCAGCCTGTGCCTCCTGATGTTGCAGTTGATTGGCAGCTGTCATTTCCGGGTGTCTCAGTTGGTCGACAGCGGGCGCCTCCTGATGTTGCAGCTGGTCGGCAATGAGTGCCTCCTGGTGATGCGGCTGGTCGGCAGCCTGTGCCTCCTGGTGTTGCAGTTGGTCGACAGCTGGAATTTCCTGGTGTCCCAGTTGGTCAACAGCAGGCGCCCCCTGACGTTCCAGATGGTCGGCAGTCTGTGCCTCCTCGTGTTGCAGCTGGTCGGCAGCCAGGGCCCTCTGGTGCTGCAGCTGGTCGGCAGCCTGCACCCCCGGTGTTGCAGCTGGTCGGCAGCCGGCGCCTCCTGGTGTTGCAGTTGGTCGACAGCTGGCACCTCCTGGTGTTGCAGCTGGTCCGCAGCCGGCGCCTCCTGGTGTCCCAATAGGTCGGCAGCCGGCCCCTCGTGGTGTTGCAGCTGGTCCGCAGCCTGCACCCCTGGTGTTGCAGCTGGTAGGCAGCCTGCACCCCCTGGTGTTGCAGCTGATCCGCAGCCCGCGCCTCCAGGTGTTCCAGTTGGTCCGCAGCTGGCGCCTCCTGGTGTTGCAGCTGGTCGGCAGCAGGTGCCTCCTGATTTTGTAGCTGGTAGGCAGCCAGCGCCTCCTGGTGTTGCAGCTGGTCCGCAGCCTGCACCCCTTGGTGTTGCAGCTGGTAGGCAGCTGGCACCTCCAGGTCTTCCAGTTGGTCAGCAGCCAGCACCTCCTGGTGCTGGAACTGGTCGGCAGCAAGCGCCTCCTGATATTGCAGCTGGTAGACAGTCAGTGCTTCCTGGTGTTGCAGCTGGTCGGCAGCCGGCGCCTCCTGGTGTTGCAGCTGGTCGGCAGCAGGTGCCCCCTGGTGCTGCAGCTGGTCCGCAGCCTGTACCCCCTGGTGTTGCAGCTGGTCCGCAGCCTGCACCCCCTGGTGTTGCAGCTGGTAGGCAGCTGGCGCCTCCAGGTGTTCCAGTTGGTCTGCAGCCGGCGCCTCCTGGTGTTGCAGCTGGTCCGCAGCCGGCGCCTCCTGGTGTTCCAGTTGGTCCGCAGCCTGCACCCCCTGGTGTTGCAGCTGGTAGGCAGCTAGCGCCTCCTGGTGTTGCAGCTGGTCCACAGCCTGCACCCCCTGGTGTTGCAGCTGGTAGGCAGCTAGCGCCTCCTGGTGTTGCAGCTGGTCCGCAGCCTGCACCCCCTGGTGTTGCAGCTGGTAGGCAGCCAGCGCCTCCTGGTGATGCATCTGGTCCGCAGCCTGCGCCCCCTGGTGTTGCACCTGGTAGGCAGCCGGCACCTCCAGGTGTTCCAGTTGGTCTGCAACTGGCGCCTCCTGGTGTTGCAGCTGGTCGGCAGCAAGCGCCTCTTGATATTGCAGCTGGTAGGCAGCTGGCGCCTCCAGGTGCTCCAGTTGGTCTGCAGCCAGCGTCTCCTGGTGTTGCAGCCGGTCCGCAGCCTGCACCCCCTGGTGTTGCAGCTGGTAGGCAGCCGGCACCTCCAGGTGTTCCAGTTGGTCTGCAGCAGGCGCCTCCTGGTGTTGCAGCTGGTCGGCAGCATGCGCCTCTTGATATTGCAGCTGGCAGGCAGCTGGCGCCTCCAGGTGCTCCAGTTGGTCTGCAGCCAGCGCCTCCTGGTGTTGCAGCTGGTCCGCAGCCTGCACCCCCTGGTGTTGCAGCTGGTAGGCAGCCGGCACCTCCAGGTGTTCCAGTTGGTCTGCAGCTGGCGCCTCCTGGTGTTGCAGCTGGTCGGCAGCAAGCGCCTCTTGATATTGCAGCTGGTAGGCAGCCAGTGCCTCCTGTATTGCAGCTGGTCCGCAGCCGGCGCCTCCTGGTGTTGCAGCTGGTCCGCGGGCTGCACCCCCTTGGTGTTGCAGCTGGTAGGCAGCTAGCGCCTCCTGGTGTTGCAGCTGGTCCGCAGCCTGCACCCCCTGGTGTTGCAGCTGGTAGGCAGCCGGCGCCTCCAGGTGTTCCAGTTGGTCCGCAGCCGGCACCTCCTGGTTGTTCTAAGCTGGTCGGCAGCCAGCACCTCCTGGTGTTGCAGCTGGTCGGCAGCAAGCGCCTCTTGATATTGCAGCTGGTAGGCATCCCGGTGCCATCCTGGTATTGCAGCTGGTCCGCAGCCGGCGCCTCCCTGGTGTTCCAGTTGGTCCGCAGCCTGTCACCCCCTGGTCTTGCAGCTGGTCCGCAAGCCTGCACCCCCTGGTCTTGGCAGCTGGTCCGCAGCCGGCGCCTCCCCCGCCTCCTCCTGGTCCGGTTGGTTGTCCGCCGGCCGCTTCTTCGGCGTCTATTTCCTCGCTCTCGATGCCGGCAGGCAGGATCCACAATGTTTCGCTTGGCGGCTGTCTCGTACCTAGCCAGATAGGGCCGGGCGGGCGGCGCCCAGAGCTGTCGTGCTGCCCCCACCTGCGCCTGGGCGAGGGCGGCGGACCGCCGCCATCGCCCGCCCTCCTCGTGCGGGCGCTGGCGGCGGGACCGCATGCACCAGCTCGGGCCAGAAGCCGGGCCGGCGCGTGCCCCAGACGGGCCGCTCGTGACTGAGGCCGGCGCGGGCGGCGCGCCGCCACAGACTCGCCCGGCGGCAGCTGGTGGCAGGCGGCAGCGGTGTTCGGCAGCGGGTCCGGCAGCAACATCGCCAGCCTCGACACCGGCTCGTACCGCACGCCGTCGAAGCGCACGAAGTAGCGGCCGATGTCACCGTGGATGATGGCGCACGGCTCCGGAGCCAGCCACAGCTCGTCTGGCGGCGGGGGCGGAGGCCTGTTAGCAGCTGTCAAGGTCGAACTCTCGCGACGATGGGACACTCACCGCCGGTCAGAGCGCGTAAAGGTTTGGGCCCCACCTTCCAATTTCTAGGGATTCCTTCACATTCTTGTTTTGAAGGGAGTGTTTAACATTTGTATGGGGCTTTGCACCTGAAAAGACATATTGAAGACCATTCGACGTTGTTCACAGCTCTGCCCTTCTTGAGACCAAAAACCCTCTAGTTACTGAACTATACGCCGGCAAAAATGTGCAGACTATTTGTGCAGACTTTCAAGATAACTCAGGCACCCATGACGTCATCATAACGTCATTCAATCCTGTCATCTCACTGATCATGCGGCATCAATGCCAATGGCAAAAATAATTGTCGAGTTCTTCATATCTGACGGTTGCGGGCACGCCTTCCAGATAAAAACGGCCGTCAATTGCTTCTCAACCATGCCATGCAAGCTATGTGAAATTCTAAAACGAATTATGTTTGTGCTACATAATGCAAAGAACATACACTCTTACCACTCATTACGGAAATAACTGAATACAAGTGAGCACTTTGATCTCACGGATACATAAGCAAAAACACCAAGAGAAAGGGTGAAAACACGAGCAACTAATCATGTTTAGCTCAGCATACATCCATCATCGCCGCGGACCACCTCTCGGGACACTGAGGACACTTGTCTGTGACTTTATACATGTCTGGGGACGGTCCCGCAGGCTGCAAAAGCTCGCGTGCATCCAGCTCAGAAACAAGAGGGTTTCAAATCTTGAAAATGACATGGCTGTGCACCGCCATTAATAGTCATGAAAATGGCTGCATCAATTGAGAAGCCCATGCAACTGTAGAACAGTCCCTTGAAGCGTCCTCAATTCCCCACTGGACAGGTAATATGCCTTCAGGAAGCAATTCATACCAGAAACAAACAAGAAGTTTGTTTGTTGTAATGTGATTCAGTACCATGTTCAATGCATGTTGACTTAATGTGTAAAACACACTGGAACGGTCGTCAAATGGTGCCTGTATGAAGAGAAGCCTATACATACAGCAGTCTGCTCTAGTATGTCATCTTCCTTCGTGCAGCACCCAAGTTATCAGATGAATCAGATAGCGGCGTACTGCCGTTATTCCTGAAATAAGTGTCCCCTTGGTACGCACTACCTGTTGTTTGTTGTTAAATCGCAGCTAACATTGCCATCACCTAACACCTGCTGGATAACTCACTAATGAAGCGGCCTGAGCGGTGCCTGACCGCGGGTGGCCACGCGACACGGCCACGTCTCCGCCGCGACGGGCGGGCCTCACCTTCAGCGCCACCACCTCCTCGTTGCCGTCCAGCAGCAAGCGAGTAGAAGGGCTGACTCCAGGCCGCGCGCCAGCGTGTCCAGGTCCAGGTGCTCACTGACCCACGCCTGCGGGCCCGGCCGGGACACGACCCGCGTTCACACGCGCTGGCTCAGAGACCCGCCGCTCGGTCCGGTCAGGTCAGGTCAGGTCAGGCCAGAGCCCTGCTCTATCAGGTCAGGTCAGAGCTCGACTCGATCAGGTCAGGTCCAGAGCTCCACTCGATCAGGTTAGGTCAGAGCCCAGCTCGATCAGGTCAGGTCAGAGCTCGACTCGATCAGGTCAGGTCCGAGTTCCGCTCGATCAGGTCAGGTCAGAGCTCCACTCGATCGGTCAGGTCGGAGCTCCACTCGATCAGGTCAGGTCAGGTCAGAAGCCCGCCCGATAAGCCTCGCCTCGCTAGACGGACAACACCGGTCTATGGTCACTAATGCCGAATGTTAGGAAGCGGTGGATTCAACACGTCGACCCACACAACCCGCGGATGCGTTAGCCGACGGACAGTGCACCGCGCCGGGCACGACATGCCGAGCAGCATTCCCCCCAGTGGCGACTCAGTCCGTCACAGGCACGACCACGCCCCTCCACGAGTGGCCGCCCGTCAGACGCCTGCGCGGGTTCTCACCGCAGAGGCGTCGCAGTGGGCCGTGCAGAAGTACACGACGGCCAGGTAGCGTCCGTCGTAGATGACCACATCGCCCATGCGGAAACTGGCGGCGCGCGCGCGGCAGGTTCGCGTCCGGCTCGTCGGGCGACGGCGCCTCGCTCTCCTCCGGCTGAATGGGACAGAGCGGGCTCGGTTAGCCGTAGGCGCACGCCCCCCGGCGTCACAACGGTTACGAACACCGCCGACAGGTGGCAGCACCACCCACCGTCTCACGCATAGCACACAGATTCCCAAAGACGCAACGTTTGTTATTTTTGCGTCGCTTGACGCATGGCATTTCTGGGTAGCGCACACCGGTGTAGTGCTATCCGAGCTTGAGAGCGACCGCACGCGACCCTGCTGCGGCCGCGCCGCCGCTGGACGCACCTCGTCTGGCCAGCCGGTGAACCATAGCTCGTTCAGTGCGTCGCGCTGCTCGTTGGAGATCAGATTCATGTAGCCCGTGAAGTGACACAGGTGGGAGTACTCCTCATCTGGCAGCGTATTGCCGTGTTGGTGCAGGAAGTCCTGGCGAGAAGACCAGGTTCGGTACACAGTCCACATATGTACAGTCTTCCGGGAAACGGCAGTCGATCGAGTCCCGTCTCCAGGCCAGTCTACTGCGAACGGCAGTCGATCGAGTCCCGTCTCCAACCAGTCTACTGCGAAACGGCAGTCGATCGAGTCCCGCCCCCAACCAGTCTGCTGCGAAACGGCAGTCGATCGAGTCCGTCCCCAACTAGTCTGCTGCGAAACGGCAGTCGATCGAGTCCCGCCCCCAATCAGCCTGCTGCGAAACGGCAGTCGATCGAGTCCCGCCCCCAACCAGTCTGCTGCCAAACGGCAGTCGATCGAGGTCCCGCCCCCCAACCAGGGGTTTGCCTTTTCAAGAGCAATTGTAAAACATTTGTCCCTTGGGGTCATGGACACACAGAAAATGAGCAAAAGCAACACGGGCTGCGGGATGATTTCAATCATGGTTCACGTGTGCGTAGCGAGCACTGCGTCACGGAGTCACTCAATATGATTCTAACTGTGCATGGGTTTGCAGCATGTTTTTAGAGCTCAGATACATGAAGGAGTGGCACTCAACCAACATGGCATTCACAATTACCGCAAATATCCGCAAAATGGCGAAAGCAGTCCAACCTAGAATGACCCAAACGCACCAGTCTCACATGGTAAACCAAGGGCCCACACAACTGGCTGGGGCGCATGACGAACACGGCCCGCCGCCAACGTCACGCGAGGCCACACACCCCAGCTGCCACGGCACAGGGGCCGCACCACCCTCGCACAGCAGCCGGTCGGCCGCGCTCACCTTCAGGACGCGCCGGGCGTACATGGGCCGCTGAGTGTGCCAGGTGTCGGCCAACGTGACGGCCGTGTTGTAGTCGAACACGAACCCGTTGTCGGCCCAGATGGCCAGCCAGCGGATGGCGCGCCGCTCGGCGGTGCTCAGCACCGGCTCCTGCGTCGCCTCGCCCATCGAGCGCAGCACACGGCTCACCATCTGGCCGACGATTGGGCGCTGTTAGAGCGGCGTCACGTGACGACGCCGGCTATCCGGCCGTCCGTCTACTGCTGATCGCCCCAGCTGGTATCTGATGGGCGCACGCCGCACACCCGGGTTTGAGGAACCGGAACACACAGGAACGGGACCGGCTGGACCAGCTCTCACGTTATTTCCCACGCAACCACGAAAGAACTGCGATTATGAAAGCTCTTTACGTCCTCACACATGCAGACAGAACAATAGAGCACTGCCGTTTTTTTCCTTTTTCTGCCCGGCATCACGCCGCCGTCACGCCAAGATCCGAGGGATTGCAGAAATGCTGGTGCTTCCAAAGCATACTGGCATTCCACAGGGCACATGCCACGATGTAGGGCTCCTTTTATATAGCGGTGCCGCCACACCGCGCGCGGTCCGCGGGCATTGACAGTAGTCCCCCCCCCCCCCCCGTCCCTTGCGCAGCCGTGAATCGCCGTGCAGTGTTAAAAACATCGCTTTCTATCCTAAGGACAAGTTTTTGGTACTAAATCGCGCGCCATGGATTTCCCAAGGATTACCAAAAACGCTTGGCACGATTATCGACATGCCGGAAATGTATCCCAGAAAATCTTCGAGGAGTCGCCCGAACCACCTCTCTCAGGGTGAATGTCAAAAGTTATACATTACAACTACGGCATCACCACGGCGGACAGCTGGCGACACGACACACCGCACCAATCAAGAGGCCATGCGACTTCCGACGCATCCGGCGAAAACATGCGATTCCATCCCGGATCAACCGCATCTAAAGACTTGCCATGTCGTCGCAAGATGCAGAGACCCGGGTGGTTTGGTATCGCCCTCCGCGCTGGCCGCCCCTCCCTCCCTCCCTCCCTCCCCCGGCGCAGCGTGTGACGCCGTGCCGGCGGGCGGCGCACCCACCTCGACCGGCGTCTGCTCCTGCTGCCAGACGGGCTCCATGGTCGCCTCGAAGTCGGCCAGCTCGATCGTCATCGAGGTGATGTCGTAGCGGGAGCCGTGGTGGGTCGGGTCCACCACCACATACTCGTCGGTGCTCCTGGGAACGGTCAGCCGGCGCTGAGTGGCTGAGGCCGGGCAGACGGCCGGCCGCGGACTGACGACGGTCAGCCAGCTTCCAGAGGTCGCTGCCAACTTTAGCAGCAGCAGGGTGATTAGGTTTCTGCCAGCCAATTTTTACTGGCAAAACCAGCCAAGAGTTGACAGAATCTACTGGTGGCAAAAAAAAAAACTGCCAGAAAATGCTGCAAATCATACAAATACTGGAAGTAGGTTGTAAGCCCAAGTGCTAAAACTAACCAGGAAAAATAAAAACAAATGGAGCTAGCCAGTTTGTGCTAGCATGGCACACTGCACATTCAGTAAACCATAAAGCCAATAAAATGACAAAAATGTAGGATAATAAATAGTCAACAGGATTGCCAGCTGCGATGAAATTTTATTGAGATGCAAATACATTTGTTTGCATTGATCAAGCCATCAAGCAAATGAGTATTCACTGTCCCTTCCTGTGATAAAATCACACATCTTAACAGGAGGATGGTGACAACCTAAGCCAGCTGAAAGCAAGCAGACGAAAATTCCTGGCGGACAAAGCTGGCAAAACTACAAGTAGAATTTATCAACGCATGCTTAATCCTACTTAACCCTCCAAAAAGCGGGCGTCAAACAACCATGCAGTTATCAGTTTTGACATGCCACTGTACTACCAGATAGACACAATGAGAAAACCAGTGAGGCGCCAATTGGATATTTTCCCTTCAGCCCATGGCAGAACTAGAAAAAGTTGAAGCACTAGAGTACAGTGTTGGCTGCTCACTGGTATACCAGTCATGCAACTTATGTTGCACCTGAGTTGATCATAACTGGTATACCAGTTAAGCAACTTATGTTGCACCAGAGCTTTGACCAAACAGGGCGTAGTAGGCCTACCATATGGCATTGCAATGCAAATAAAGAGGGCCAGTATCCCCCCCCCCCCCTCCCCCCGAGTTTCCATCAGTTTGTGGCAGGTTTTGCCAGTAAACCCACAACAGCTTCAAAACATTCAAAACTCGTTTTAGTCAGCTGAAATACCAACCTCTGTGGGCACGGATGGTCGGAGAGGGGTTCGGAAGGGAAGGGAAGAGAGGATAATGTCGCGCGCAGTTCCCAGCAAGAGCAGCAGGGCCGGCGCCGGGCCTTCGCGCCCGTTCAGCGTGCGAGACGGCGTGTTCAGCACGCGGCTGCACCAGCGGCTATCATCGCTGCACTCACGCTCTATACCAGGCGATGACGGTGCGGTCCGTGATCCGCATGTGGTAGACGCAGACGCCGAGCGCGCCGGCCACCGACGAGTAGATCCAGGGCAGCAGCAGGCCCAGGCCGTGAGAGGCAGGGGTGTCCATGAACTGCAACGGCCGGTCACGTGCGTCACATCCCGCCACCGGGCAGCGCGCCGGCGGGGCGTCGCGGTGCCGAATGGGCCGCGGCCCGTGCAGCCGAGCGGTTCGGGAGGCGATCAGCATCACCAGCGACTGAGCGGAATGTGTCGGTTCAGCGATCATCAACGAGCTGGTTGAATGGTTCGGTGATTTCCGCACGTAAGTACGGACGTAAGAGGTAGTAAGTACGCGCATCGCTCGCGCGGGACTGCTCTGCGGTTGTGAGCAGCTCTTGCCTCCGAGATATGCACGATCAAAAACCTGCTTTTTATTTCGTTCTGTCTAGTCGTCAGCAAAATTTGCCAATTCCGACAAGTCACCGCAAACCGCACAGCACAGACAAGCTCATCTTTATGGAATAACACCGAAACTCGGCAACGAGTCAAGCGCCGAGCGGTGGCGCCACAACCTCGAGCCCGGGCCGGCGGCCTTACCTGCTGCGGGCAGTCACACGCGGCGTCATTGCAGCGAATGGCGGGAAAGTGACTGCGCATGACCAGGCTCATGACGAACAACAGGTCCTCCACGTCCTCGTCCAGCCAGATGGTGTCGCCGAAAGACGTCGCTCGCGGACGAGTCCAGGCGTTGATCGGGTGCAGCGGGTGCCGCTCGCGCATCGCCTCCAGCACAATCCCCTCCACCGCGAACACGTACCTGTGGGCCAGACACCCGGTCAGTCGCGGCGCTTCGCAGCACACAGGCGCCCGTCGACCAACGAGCAATACGCTCGCGGGAAGCCCGGAGCCAACTGGTGACAAATGTGTCTTGTGTATGTCATTGAGGCTTCACGACGCACCCAGCTGCTGAGGCTATATGGCGTCGCCAGCCTCTCACCCCGACAGGAAGGACAGGGACCCCGTACCTTTGGTTTCGCAGACGCGCAGTGGTGAACAGACGCGGTAACCACCACACTGGTGACAAATGATGCAAACGAAACCTGCTTTGTCCCGTTGAAAGACAACCGGCCGCACACACCGCTGACTGGCGACCTAGGACCATCCGGCGGGACACCGTGCCGCCGGACGCCTGCGGCCCCAGCTCTTCGCCGCGCGCGCCACTCACTGTGTGGTCAGGAGTATCTCGTGGCCACCGAGCTCAGGCGCCAGCCAAAGGAGCAGCAGGTTGAGCACGCGCGGCACGGTCAGCGGTATCGTGGCGCCCGGCCGGAAGGCGCGACACAGGATCGGCGTCATGCACATGTCCCGCTCGCACTCGCGGAACAGCATGAGCGCGTAGTGGCGCCGCGCCAAATGCTCGTGCCTGCGGAACACAGCGGCGCGTCACTGGCGGGAGTCAGGGGAGTCACGCTCACGGGTCGAGACATCACGCAGGGGGTCACGCTCGCAGGCCACGACGTCAGGGGTCATCCTTGCGGACCACAGGCACGGACGGCCCTGCAGGCCACAGGCACAGACGGGCTGGGCGACGTGGTGACGGGAAATAAGCCGACACACCCTGCCAACGCTGTCAGCCGACTCACCCCCGGGGAGACAGACAGGTTCGGGACACGGCGGCGATGAGAACGCAATCGGATCTCCACGATGCACCGCAAACCACAAACACGGCGGCACTGTCGACGGCATCACCGGCGGGACGGTGCTGCTACTGCCGAGCGCAACACCAGAGCACCATCGTCCCTCTGCGGCGCACTCACGGGTGATAGTGACGCGGGTAGATGATGTCCAGCAGGGCGTCGCGACAGAACATACTGCCGAAGTGCTCCGCGCGGGCGCGCAGGTCCTCCATGGCCAGGTCCGGCAGGCCGTTCAGCATGAACAGCATGTTCGCCGCGTGGTCCACGGCCACGGCGATCTTGCGCCCGGCCTCGGCGCGCAGCTTGGCGGTGCGCAGCCAGCTGCGCTCGCAGCTCTGGTAGGCACGCAGCACCGTGCACCGGTAGTCCGGCCCCGAGAGCCGGGGGTACCTGCCGGCGGACGGCCCACGCTGAGCACCTGCACGCCCGCGCCACGGCCTGCACAGCCGTGGCCGCCTGCGACAGCATGGGGCGGGCGTGCTGAGAAAGCACGCACTTTCGCGGGGCAGGCTAGGAACGACGCTGGGACCGGTTCCACGACAGAGGTGATATAACAAAAACTCCTGCCGACAGCAGTCCTATATCAGTTCTGCTTTAAATCCCTACATATGACCTCAGTTTTTTCCATGTGACACCCATGTCCAATATGAGTTCTTGCAGTGCAAGTGATGACGGGCTTAAGTAAACGAAGCATGAGACTTGTTGGGTAGCACTAATGTCGCGTGTAAGTCTTTTGGTAGAAGTTATGTCGTGTTTAAGTGATGACATATAAGAATGGGTAATAATAATACAATATAGTGTATAGTAATAGCAGGCTTATCATAAACATGCATGTTGTAGTAGTATAAATGGGGCATATAAATTATGTCTGACTTTATCTTGTTTAGCATCTATAATGTTTAACCAATTACAACTAAAGTAGATGAGTTTTTGCCGCAGCACTAACGCCGTGACACCACGGGCACCGGTATCTGGACGTGCCTCATTACACGCCTGTGCCAGGCGGCGGCCTAACCCCTGTCGGAACAAGCGGATTCCAAACACCTGTTACACTCCATAGATGACAATAGGATCTAAATGTGCGTCGAATCGATGCTGGCAGCCGAAGGGAACGGGCTCATTTCCTTGGGTATTTGTCAAGCATGCAACAGAAACACAAAGCAAAACAAACTAAGAATGTTGCTGGCAGCGACCGCACACTGGCTGACGAGCTTCGGTTATGCAGCATTCAAGAAGTTGTTTGGATACTTTTGTGGTGCTGCAGCAGGTGCTGATGATTGCAACAAGCTCTTTGATGAGGGAACCACCATAAGCTCTCTTAGTTTACAAAAGCAGTAATAACAGGCACTTCATGGAAAGGGGAATGGCTTTTGAAAATGTCAAGAATACAAGCTAAATCAGGCATATTGCTTTAAAACCAGAATATTTTTCAACTGAACAATTCTATATGTTTTGTTGTGCAGTGTGCCCAGGCAGGGAATACTGCAACTTAGTGGAACCCTGTGGGCTGTGGCTAATTGTTGAACTTCTGCAGTCATCTATGATCCCACATCCTGTGATCCAAAATATGTGGCATTTTTGCAATGAGTTTCAGAGAAATGAATGTATCAGCCAGTGCCCTTTGACCAAAGGCCATGGCTTGTGATCCAGGCATCCTTTCTCAGACAGCTGTAATCAGCCATTGGTATTGACTAGTGAAAACTAGCAGGCAATAAGTGCTTCAGCTTACTGCAACTGATCTTCTTTGGGGGAAGGTGAGCAAGAGCATTTTATGTGTGCCCCATTCCCTAAAAAAACTAAATTTGGCTATCTTCAAGATGTTCACTGCACTTTTCAAGAACATATTGCATGTTAACTGCCCTCTTTACAGCAAAAAAATAGAAAAAATAGTCATTGAACAATCAGGCAATTACAATGACTGCACCCATGGCAAATTTTTCCTGATTATAGCAGCCATGATTATGAACTGATGTTCATATATCATGGGCCCAATTCTTATACCATCACAGAGCCATACAATATTGTCTTTCTATGGTGTTGAATAAAACTAGCAAGAAAACGGCACTAACAATTCAGCCTACTGCTGCCGTAAGTCACCAGATATGTAAGATGCAAGAATGAGGATAACATGAGATGTGTTTAAAGAGGGTGCTCCACATTTGCATTCCTTTTTCACTGAAATCGCTGTTTTGAAAATCATGAGACACACAGCATAATGTAACAAAATGTAACAAAACCAAACCAAGCTAACCTTACCTACCTACCTTAATGTAATGCAAGTTATTCCACTGGTGTGCAACATCACACTTCTGGCATACTCCTACCATACTAAGATATTACATTTAGCGGCTGTCCACCAACCCATCAGAAAGCAAAATCTCCACCTTCTGCCTGTTGTGTTTATTAACCTTTTCTGTTCTAAGCCAATTAATGCACATGTTAATGACAAGAGCAGGATGTGACAAGAGAACACCAGTGGAAACTAAGAAAACCTTGGCCCAAATCTCTTGTCTGCTGAAACTCACTAAACAAATGTACCAATAACTGGAACATTCTTCAGCATGCAGTAGCGTGGCCCTCACAGGAACAATTTTAAATATGGGCTTGTTATGCACTGTATGATATGCACTGGGTGTGCTGGAGGACATGCACTGGGCAGACATCCTTTACATCATATTCCATGCCATCACACCCCTGATTTGTCTGTTTACCTGAATCAGAACTTGAAGAGCCTGGGACAGACAGGCTAAATGGCCTTTTAAAATTAATGACCACTGTGGGGTAGGATGTAAGGTAAGGATAATATATGCTCCATGCTGAAACACAAAATAGGGTATACATCCCAGCAATCATTGGGTTGTAGCAGAGAGCTTATCTTCACAACACCAGATTTCATATGATGACACATTCAGACTGTCACAGACTTTAAAAATTCCTAAGCCAAGAGTTGATGCTGATGGAACTAATTTTATTTCACGGTACTCAAAAATATATGGACATGTTTCAGCCCACTTGGCCAACTTTAGCAGAATTTAGGATGATCACACACAGTGGGGTATGAAGGATAACCATCGCATAACCAAGCACATGTGTGAGGTAACACAACATTCACACCTTCTTGCTGCAAAAATAGCAAAGTACTATCCCCAAACCTTCATGAAACAAAACTAAATAACAGCTAGAACTACTTACGAGTTAAACATGGCCCTCCTCCAGACTGTATCTGAAGACTCCACTTCATTAAAACGCTTGCAGACTTGCAGAAAGGAAAACACATCAGATAGCTCCAGATAGCTGCAAATCAGTTCCAAAATTTCTGATGGGAGAGAAAGGATACTTGTATCCTTAAACCTGGACTCAGCATGCTGCGGATCTCCGCATACCAGCATGATGACAATGTTCCGTTCCTATCCTCTTCAATCAACAGAACTTGACCTTCCTCTCAGCTTAGCACAAACGCATGCTTGCTGTCGCTAGCGAACATTCCGATATTTCCGTAGAAAAAATGCGCGCTTTTTGCTCAGTTTCCAGCTTGAGCAGATCTTGCGCTCAACGCACTGATTAAAAAGTCGCAAACAACGTGGCAAACCTCCGACCTACAGACTCAGACCTACACAACCTCCCGACAGCACAGTCCACACACGTGTGCCAGCGCGTCCAGAAAATGGCGCGAGGACCCTCAGCTGATTTCAAAAATAGTGCCAAATCCGGACAGCACTATTCCATTATTGTTCCCGTTACTGTCTTCAATTTAAGAAAAAAACTGATGCCGAAGTCATTTTTTAAATCATGTTTCGAATTTATATTGTCGGCAGTTGTGATTCCAGCGCCCCAAAGGTGTATATCGAAATGCAGAATTATTTAAATATGGCCGCCTAAAGGTACACCACAAGCGTGGTGCAATTCCTCGGGTGTGGTGCAACTACTGCGTGCCACACTACGGGTGAATCTCGTTGTAATATGGCCTTTAAAATGTCTTCAGCCCGTGGTTTTTAGCATTATGAGTCGAAAGTTCTTATGTTGGATAAGCGGCCTGCAATATTCCAGAAGATATTAAATGAGCAGCATTGTGATGCTAAACCACGATTTTATTGCATGGATTAACAGGTCACGAACTGGAAATTACGACAGTGCACAAGAAGGTTGCAAGGAATTTCATGCAAAGTTGCGCACATTTTAACCATACCATGCATAACCGCCGATGCGAGCACTTTAAAGCACTCGATCGCAAGCCGGGGTGCAGCCAGAGCCGCACCGGATATGGCCGACTTGTTTTCGAAAGGGTGCGATTTTCTACGCGTCATTTTTAGATTTTCCTTCCCGTGCTTGAACAGAAGCCGGTAGATACCAAAATGTAAAAATTTCCTTAACCTTAAACCTTAACAAGGAAATGAGCGTAATTTGCGTTTATTGACTGCATGGAAAAATCCGCTGGCAAAAAATTAGGATGTTTATTTTAAAGCGATTCAGTGGGCTTAGCTTTAATCGATAAAGCTGAGCGGTTTTCCCAGAACCCTTTCCTGGGTTCTACAGCAATGCTGAGAGCCCCGGAACATAACTTGTAGATTGGAATGGACTTAAGGATTCCAATTAACAAGACCAATCTGCATCCCAGTGTGCAGGAATGTATAGTCTCCAGTCAGAATCGCTTAGTGATATAAACTGTGCAACATAATTTTGAGCATCCGCTCTCGCAAGTCTTAGATACAAACAACCAACGGCCGACATTGCGTTGGCCCCGTGGCTAGCACGACGCACAGGCAGTGGCCAACGGGTGAACAAAAATGGCGGCGCATCTACAAGCATCTTTGAATGCCTAAGACCATCAATTCGCACGTGTAAAAGGTGGTAATCGGGTCGTGTCATCCGTGCGATTTTTTATGAAGATGGGAACGGCTTTAGCATTTACAACGCGAACTGGTGCCGGAGTTTGGTGGCAGAACTGGAAGAGTAAGACTGCAATACCCTCGTTCTGAGTGTTGCTATAAATATTTATGTGTTCCGAGCGCAACCTAGAAACCATAAATATGAAATGGACGACTCAGGCTACTAAAAGAACAGCATAAATTGACGGAGAATTTACGAGACATTATTTCACGACGTCGGTCTCGCGTGCGCCCGTGCTCGCCGATAGGCGGATCATGAGGGGCCACGAGGCCGTGGCCCCCCAAAACCTCTGGGAGTATGTGCTGCCCCACCCCCAAAACATTCCCAGAACTTCGTAAAAGTTTCGTCTACTTACCGTGTGTTTTAACTTTAACTGTTTTAACTGTTTTGTTTAAACTTCTGTTTAGGATTCAAAAGCATTTCGGTGTTTTTCGGTCTTGAGTGGTGTCCCTACTAGGTACTTGCGAGAGGCACCATGCACTGGACCTCAGATCCTACACCAGCCAGCTGGCGACGAACGGTTGCCCCCTCCCCCCTCCAAAAAACGACTCCAGGCTAGCTCCGCCCCTGGCTCGCCGCCGGGAGTGATCTGCGGCCGCTAACATCCAACGCTGTTCGGTTTTAAGGAAACTGCAAACCCGACCTTAGTTGTTCTCGCTTTTAAACACACGTGCAGGATCAAGATTATTGATGTTCTGTTTCACAAGTCAATAGTGCGAAGGATGGGCGTTTTGAATCAAACATCGGCTGATATTTTCCTTTTTTTATCTAATTTCGATCATTTGTTCCGAATGACACCGCTTACCATTCCACGTGCTCACGTGAGGCACGTGTTCCCCGCATACAAATGATTGCATGCATTCATATGTACTCGAACCATCGTTAACTCATTCCGGGCCGGCATGAAGACATATATAAGCATATATATATATATACATGTTTATCGATCAACAAGCTGCGCGCATTTACGCGTGTCGCGCCTCCCGCCCCGTCGCGAAATCCC